AAGACTTGGCAATTGTTTTTATGCTGGATGTCCTTCCTGACACAACCACAGACCACTGAGCTACCACAGCCCTCTGTGTGGAGCAGAGAGCTGCCATCTAGGGCACCCGGGGGAGCAGATAGTGGGGGTTAGGGGGCTTGCTAAAGAGCCCAGAGTGGGGCAGATGAGGGTAGAGGCAGGTGTGGGTGTTTGACCTATCCCACCCACATTTTGATGTTGTTGGTACCAGGAATTAAACCAGCAATCTTCTGATCACAGGCCACCTTCTCTAACCTCTGCGCCACCACTCCCTAAATATAGCAAGTATATAAAACAGAAACAATATACAAGGATCTAATACATACACTAAACAAGCATAATATAATTTAAATAAGTTGTATTAAACAGCAGCTTGACATGAGTCTGTTGTGAGCAGATGGGAATGAATATTGCACCGTATGGGTAAGAAATCAGCAGCATGGATAATCAGCAGCACAGATAAAGTGTCAAATGTCAAATTAAAGTGGCATTACAGTGATTTGTCTGGTTAGGGATTTATGAGTCTTACAGCTTCGGGATAGAAACTGTTCCTCAGTCTAGTGGTTCTTTACTTAATGCTCTTCAACCTCCTGCCTGAGGGGAGCGGGGCAAAAAGTATGTGTGCTGGGTGAGACTCATCCATGGTCATGAAGAATGGATCAGGACCAAAAGATTTAGATCCTAGATACAAGTGGCATAAATTAGCTTTCTCCATAGAGTGGCGGGGCTCAGCCTTAGAGACTAGATGATGGGCTCCGTCCAGGATCCAGGAGGATCTCCGAGTGGAACTGCAGCTCACCCTCATTGAAATTAGTCAGCTGAGGTAGTTCAGGGATTTGATTAGGATGACTCCCTCTGGAGGTTTGTCAGGCACTGGGTTCCACTGGGAGGAGACCCCAGAGGAGGAGACCCAGAACTCGCCGAAGGAATATGCTCTAGGAACACCACAGTGAGTGTCACTGGGGAGCGAGATGTCTGGGTTTTCCTCCTGATCCTGTTGCCTCAGCAACCTGGCCACAGATGGATGGAAAGTTATGTTGATGCCAAGGTCCAACTATAATAGCGTAATAACTAATAGGTGAATATGAGTATTTTCTCTGTCTCTGTTGCACATTTAGGTCATCACTTGTTAATAACACATTCTCCCACTTTGTTCTCCATTTAGAGGGAAGCTCCTTCCTTTTCTGTGCTTCATCATTTCTACACACGTCATCTCCCCCTGCTGACTGAAAAGGTCTTCTAAATCCAACAATGTTCAGTCAGGTCATCTGGACGGTTTCTTATTTTGCTGAGATGTTTCGTCCTTCATCCAAAGTACTCCTGCAATCTGAGGAGCCACCAACAAAATGAGTCCCACAAGCAGCACCCACATAGTGGGAAAAATAACAGTTTGCTGGTGACAAGATGACCACTGGGGCCCACCCTCTCCCCTGTCAACTCCTCTGAGGTAGCCATGCCAAAGTGGTTCAAAACACCCATGTCCATGCTCAGTAATCCAGGTAAAAATCCAACAATGTTCAGTCAGGTCATCTGGACAGTTTCTTTTTTTTTTGTTGACATGATGAAGGACGAACCGTCTCAGCAAAAAAAGAAACGGTCCAGATGACCTGACTGAACATTGTTGGATTATTACCTGGATTATTGAACATGAACTTTGGTGTCTTTTCTAAATGTTTTTGGAGGGGTTGTGTGTGTCACTGGTGTCAGCCACATCATTGTAACTTTAGGAAGGTTTTATTCACTGAATGCTTTTGTGTCTTCTTGTCTTTCATGAGTATAATTTGTGCATCATGTTGCGTTTCTAACAGTTTGCGTTTGTAACAGTTTTGCACATATTTGTTGTTATTTTGCACCAGTGTATTTCACTGTTATGTGTCTTTACAATATCTTTTTAATATATTGCATCATTTTGATATTGTTGTAGATGTTGTCATTATATGTGCGTTGCATCTGTGTCTCATTTGATTGTTTTGAGACTATAAGCCTAGAGTTGTTTTGTACCTGGACGTTCCATTGTTAAGAGTTTTGACATTTTAGACTGTGAACGTACCTTTTACGTAGGACTGTTTTGAAATTCAGTAGAATGTAATTAAAGATTTGAATTACGTCACATCATTAAAAATATTATACCCCAAAAATAATTACCATATTCATTTATTTATTAACTTAATTAGCTTTTAAACATGGATTCGGAGTAAAATAAGTTAAGTTAAATGAATGACGAATTAATAAAACTGAAAAAAGGAAAATAATTTTGCACAATACTTATAGGAAACGTTTCTTTTTTTTTCCTACTTATTATAGCAAGCAAGTAAAAAATAATGTTTAATCTTTGTGTACACAAAAATTAAAAATGTAACTACGTAAAAGTGGTGCCTTGAGGACATTCCCATGAATTAATTGTAAAATAAATAAAACGTTTCACTGATGACCTACTTTTAGCAGCGTTTAAGCAAAATGATGCTATTGTTCTTGAACGTAACTCGGTTCACGAAAGGACATTATTTTCGCCATTTTAGCTCATGGTCCAATCACAACAAAGCAAACGAAGATAGAAATGATTTGATTGGCTAAGTTTTGCGCCAATCTTCACTGTCTCTCCTCCCCCCGAACAGTCTCCACCCCGATGCAGTTTCTTGAAAGCTTAGCTGTGCTTGGTAAAAGGTGAGTGACACACTGACATATATTTTGCAGATGTTTATATATATATATATTTCCTGTCAGAATATTATTTTAGCTTCATGGGTTTCACGTGAACAAGTTACACTAGAGTAAAAAACAATTTCTGGGTTTATTTACTCCTGGTTGTGCGCTACCGTTCGTTTAGACCTCAAAACGGACAATAGACGTTTTTATTTTCTTGCTTACAAACATCAGGATGCGCGCGCAGCCGAAAGTCAACGCCGCAACGAGATATTTTAATGAACGTTTATCTATCCTTCGTTATTAAATTAAATAATTCAGTAATCCAACACTATTATTATCTCACCGTTTTTACTTTATGCGAGCGATAGATAAATTTATGAATGGCCCTGATCGATTATTGCTTTTGGGTGGGAACCAGGGAACGACCGCCATCTTTGTAGCTAGTAGCTACGGTAACGGAGGCTAGTAGTAAACAACGTGATAAGTCATGTGAGTCCAATGGAGGGAAAAATAATGGCGTTTAAAGAAAATTCCAGAAAAACAGGGATTGGTGTGGCATTTTGGCACTCTTCCTTTGCACCTTTATTTTCTGTTGGGTACATATTTGTGAATTCGTATATTTTGATAAACAGACTAAAGTTTGCAAAAGAGCTTCAAATAAAAGGTGAGAGGTGTGTGTGTAATTCTGTCTCAGCTTATTTAATGGATAAGCAGGATTTAATAAATATGCATGTATGCATTTACTTTAAATCTCTGGGTCACTGCTTTATGTTTACTCATTTTGTTTTGACTGTGTGTTTGGCTTTTTGCAGTTTGTTGCTCTGCTGCTGCTCATCTGTGACTTTTGCCACAATTGTTTGGCAGGAAGCTTAAGCACGGGTTTGCCATGTAAGCATCTGCAGCAGAACTTTTAGTGTGTCTTTTGCGTGTTTTTAATACTCCATCTCTGTCCGTGTATGTGTAAACAGAAAGTAAAGGATGCCGTTTTAAAACTATTTGAACATGTATACCCCAGGAGGTTAATCTAAATACAGAAATACCTGGACGATTTCTATTTTGCACACATTTTTTGTGTTTAAGAAACTGTTCTTTCACAAGACTATCACATGATGATTTTCACCTTTTGTTTGTATTAGAGTTTAAAATCTTGCTTGTGTTTTTTCATTGGAAACATGCACATTAGAACTTGGATTTCACCTCTCTGTCTATCATTTCATTTGGGAATGCTTATCTCAGAGTCAGAGTTTCTTTATTGTCATTCGCACCTCATGTGGTACATGTGGTGGAGCAAAATTATGTACACAGGGTCCCAGTTACATCCAACAATAAAATGTATAAGAAAAACAATAATAACATCTAAGATATGAACTAAGAAAAACATCAACTAAATATACACTAAGCACTCATAACATAAAACATTGAACATCAGCACAAACATGAACATGAGTCTGTGAGCAGATGTGCACGCATGAACACATCAACATTGAAACAGATCAGCAGCAACATGAAACAGATCAGCAGCAACATGATATGGTTTTTCACAGTGATTATTCTAGTTAGAGATTCATGAGTCTAACAGCCTCAGGGTAGAAGCTGTTCCTCAGTCTAGTGGTTCTACACTTAATGCTCCTCAACCTCCTTCCTGAGGGGAGTGGGGCAAAAAGTGTGTGTGCTGGGTGAGTGGGGTCCTTCATGATGCAGGTGGCCCTCTTCCTGCATCTGGAGGTGTAGATGTCTGTGATGGTGGGGAGACTGATTCCAACAGATTTCTGTGCAGCCTTCACCACTCTCTGCAAAGCTTTTCTTTCTGCAGCTGTGCAGCCTCCATGCCACACACGTGCCCAAGCACGTTCACCAGATTTTATAGAGTTAACGTGGCCACCCCTCATCCCCTGGGCCAGGTTCTTCTACAAGGGTCCTCTGGGCCTCCTCAGTGAGGTAGGTGTTTAGGATTCCTTGTGACATCGTTGGTATCAGTCATTCAGTGCTTTCAGCACCGCCCTCTGGCGGTCAGGAGGGATGAAATAGAACGAAAGTTACGTATGTAACTACGGTTCTATGAATCCCGGATGACCGCCAGAGCTTCTCCGTCACTCAGAATCCTTGCGTTCCGCGAGAAGATTCTGTAGGAGCAGAGCAGCGGATGACGTCGGGCTATATAGCCTCTGATTGGTCATCCGTGTCACACCTGTGACTCCGTTGGTATTATTACTCGAATCAGCGCATGCGCGAAGGGAACATTATCTTGATTAGCACAAGAAGAAGTTGATTACAGAATGCTTTAAATGGGGCCAGTGTTGTGGCCAGTGTTGTCCAATTACATCCCTTGGGACATTTATGGGTCTCTCTTGTGCTATTGAGGCTCCTACTCTGACCCAATGCTAAAAACATCCTCTAAAATCAGTTTTCACAACTGCAGTCACTATTTTTTTTACATAAACAAGGAAGAGGGATGGGTTTAAATAATTATAAATGTTATTTTGGTCCAAAAGCACCATACTTATTACAACTGTGCTGTACTTAAAAAAACAAACACAATTTTCTGTGATTTAAAGTTTTTTTTTTCACTCCAGCATCCTCAAAATCTTCTAATACCCTCATATCTACACGTATGACATGTCTACAAAATGAGTCGGATCAGTATTACTCAGAAAACAAATCATTCTAAAGAAACACTGCAGATATCAATACAAAAAAATAGTTGAAAATCAAACCAGTCTCTCCACTTGAGCCTGTTTAACAACTTTTGGTTTTCTAGCAAGGTTGAGTCAGGTCCTCTGGTCTTGGACGGATTCTTCTTTGTTGAAGAAAGTCTCCTTCAGTCTGAGGAGCTGCATCAAACTCATTCAGCACCTTTTCATAGTGGATCACCCAATTTGCTAGAAACAGACAAAAGGAGGACAATCAGCCTTACAACCAATCGTTAGTGCCCTGATGGAAAGTTGAAACTGTCCACATCTTACAGTGTTGTTATTGCAAGTATCATTCAGCCTTCTGTGAACAGCAAATGGCCATCAGGGCACTAACAATCGGTCGAGAATGAACAGAATGAAAATATAATGCTATGTGTTCTGCCTTTTTTAGGTGTATTTGTTTCACTGCAGAGCATCATGGGTAACAATGGCAGTGTTGTGGTACAGAAGCGGCTGGCTCGGTTTCGTCCAGAGGAGCGGTCCATGGTCGATGGGTTGTTTGACAAGCTTCAAGGCGATGCTGGGGCCTCGGGAAAAGCAGGGAAGACTCTGACCCTTGAGATGCTTCAGGTAGAAAAACTGAACATGAATTGATGAACTGAAATCTGTGACGTTAGCACATGATTACGCTGACAGTTAGCATTTTGAAGTCTACTTTTCTCCCATAAATATCAAGTTTCTGCTTATTTTTGTGTCTAATTATTGATTTACGTCTTCTTTGAGTGCATCAGTCAAGAGAGTTTTTGTCATTGTGCTGCTTTTTCTTTAATCAACCCTTCATTTGATCTTTCATAGTCCACCATGGGAAGTTTGGCGCCGGACTCCATGGTGAAGAGGATCTATCAGTGCATGTGCAGCCTCGACCCGGGTCAGGAAGCACCTTCAGACTCGCAGAAAACCACCCAGCCTGCTGCTGCCTCTGGAGTCCTTCGGGAACAACTGATCGTCTTTCTCGCTGACACCCTGCGAGGTACTGCAGAAGAACGAGCCCCCCTCGTTTTGACTATGTCCCACAATGCCGCAGGGGTACCCAAAGAGGTCACTTGTGAGCAGGTGGTGGAGGTGAGTACAGAGAGCAATGAAACAGGAAATAACATGGATTTATGTGGTCTACTTCTTGATTTTTGCATTTTTCCACAGTTCCTGCAAGACCTGATTTCTGCTGTAGTTCAGATTTTGACCTGCAGGGGTCGTCTGCAGGGCTGGCATCCAGATAAAATGGGAGATACCTCCTTGGGTGTTAAACTCTTGGCAGAACAGATGTGTTCTGAGCTCAAACCCTCAGGTAAACTCCTGATTTCATTTTTGTTGAACATATTAAGGTATTTTGACTCCTAACTGCCTCATTTCACATCTCAGATCAGGGAACTTGTGATGTTTCTTGTCTGGAGGACTGGATCTTCAGAGTCTCCCAGGTGTCGACGTATTTGGAGATGCTGGTAGCTGAAGGTTTAAATGTGTCTCTGAACTCCTGGGTAGCTCCAACTCTGCTGCCTCCCTGCAAGGAGGTGTCCTGGAAAGACCTGATTTGTCTGCTGGACCTCCCCACGCTCATGTTTCTGGCTCCACAGGTTAGTGATTGTTGCATAGTTTGTTCAGGTTTTTGTTCAGAATAACTTTTTTATGTCTTAAATCTTTTCAAAGAAAAAAAACATGATTTTACTGTAACACAACTTTAAAACATGAATTATAGATGTCATTTAATCAAGGTCATTTAATAATTTAATAAACAAAACAAAAAACCACATAATAGTTCAAAATCATAAATCTATATTTTCTGTGTTTCTATGGTTTCCTTTTATAAATTTATAACTTATTTATAAAAAAAAAATTTGTGTGAACCTTTATATCTGTTGCTGATGTTGCTGCTGTTACACACTTGAATTTCCCCACTGTGGGACAATAAAGGCTGTTTCTATTCTTCTATTTACTACTGGTCCAGACATCGTTTACTAAGCTGTAGGTTTGCTTTTTCAAGTAAAAACACTTAAAAAAACTTTTTTGTCTTTACTCTTTTAAGATTGGCAACAAGTATCAAACACTATTAGTTAATTATTTCACTCAGACAGAAACACATTCACGTGTTCATTGTCTCACACATTAATATTTAAAATGACAATGTGTTTCTTCTCATTTTCTTGCTCATCTCTTTGTAGTTACCAGGCAGCTACAGCGCCCCCTGGAGGCTGGTGTTTTCCACACACCTGCACGGGGAGAGCTTCACCAGGATGATGACTGGCCTGATGCATCATGGGCCTACCCTGCTGCTCATCAAAGACACTAAGGGCCACGTCTTTGGGGGCTTTGCGTCACAGACCTGGGAGATGAAACCTCAGTTCCAGGGTGAGAGAAGGAACCCTTTTTATTCGATGTTCTTTTTAATATTGTGTTGCTTTAAAGCTGAATGACAGGTAAAGACAACATAAACCTTGTTTAAATACTTGTACAACTTCATATAACTGATGAGGAAACATCAGTTTCCTGATTATTGAATGTAAAAAAGAAAATAAAGGTTGAAAGAATAAATGAGGAGCCTATTCCAAACCAGGAGGCAGTAATTTATCAAATTCTAGATGCTATAAGACAGTAGCTAACATTTTTTCCCAAGTCATACATGTGTTTAATGTAAAACTGAAAATGTACGGTGGCAGCAGAACACGGAAAAATTTTGCACAGATATTATTCAGTCTTATCCGTTTACTAATTCAATTCAGTTTATTTATATAGTGCCAAATCACAACAAAGCTCTAGAAATCCTATAGACTTTTTCTCTTGTTCCAAATTACTGTTGTGTAAAATGAAGAGGCACTAACTGAGACACTGACACAATTTAAATATATTTGCAGAAACAACTATTTTAATGAAAAAACGCTGAGATTGATTCATATTTTTGTCAATAATAAGATAAAAACATGTAAACTAGCAGGAATGCTAATATTTAGTTGTGACCATAGAAGTTTTCAGCTTGTCTGATTTGTTCAAAGTTCCTGGTGCACTTATACTGGTTGGCCAGTAGGTGGCGGTGTAGGAGATTTATCTAACATGCATCTGAATCCAAACTCATTACTGTAAATCAGAAAACAGCTACTCAAAAGTTACCTACTGTGGTTAAAAAATGTTTTATTATTAAATCATGCACAATTTAAACAAAAAAGAAACTAAAAATTTACGTCTATTATTTAAATGTCATTTTAGCCCACATTATGATGACAACAAACCTACAGATTTTGTATTTTGTGACAAAATTAAAAACTGTAACCACACTCACATTTATAGTGTTATTTCTATATTAAAAACTCAAAGATACAGATTAATATTTTAACTCTTGATTTTAACTCTATTTTAACTTCTAATTCATGAAAATCTGACAGAAAAAGTACTAAAGCATTAAATGAAATCCACACATTAATGTGGTTGAGGAGGTGTCATTAATTAAAAGTCTGTAAGCAACATTTGTGACGAGATGCCAACTACTACATGCATGTTTTCCCACATAAATAACCAAAATACAAAAAATAGGTCAAACATTGAGTGTAAGAAGTTTTTGCGTGTCTGAATGCAGAGCTCTGTCTTTATGCTGCTCCACTGAACTGCATGAGCCTGAAATTTATTTTTGACAGTTGTCTCCATCTTTCTCATTTATTTCTCATTTAGCAGTGGATTAACTTCTACATTTCCACCTAAATGTCTTCTCCGAAACTCTACATTTGTCTGATTCTGCCATATTTGTTTGCGGACTACAGGCAAATCAGTGACATGACTCAAGCTACTTGGTTTTTGGTAGCTTTAGCCAAGTGCTTTGTTACAGTGTGGACCTTCTTTTCAGAACTGCATTCAATACAGCTAAAAAAAAAAAAATACTGGAGTAAACTGTCCAACTGCACCATTTACTTTCAGGATCTCCTGTTTTATATTTGATTTTATAGTTTGCAACAAGTATCTTTAAACTATATAATAAAAAGTATAAAACTGCAAAACTCCCTGGTGATATAAAGCAACAACAGCCCTACAAACAAGTGTCAGAATGTACAAACAAGCAAGTAAATGTCCAAAACTGAGAATTTATCGCTTTCTGCGTTTATGTTTCAGACACATGTGCCTATTATCCTCTCAGCTAATTATATTACCTCTGTTTAAAAAAAGTCTTACACTCAGGAAGCAGAATTTTGATATGAACTCTCATTATTTTTTATGCAGAAATTTAGTCCAGATGCTTACATTTTTTTTGCTCATGTTATGCAGCCTTTTTCTTGCAGTTTTTTTTTAAGGCGTCCTGTCTTGCAGCAAAATACATTTTTAGTCTAAAAAAACTGTTAAGAGTCGAACCAAATGTAAGTCTAAGGAATGCAGCATTTTGTCTTTTATAGTCACAAATAAAGTCATGCTATGAAATCTTTAGTCGTGTGACGTCAGCAGCTCGTGCACCACCGATGAAGTTACATGTTGAGGAAGTAATACTCCCTGTTTGAATGCTGGGGGCAGTCACTTGACTTTTCCCTCAGATCTTCATGATTTGTATAATTGTGTGCATGCAGGTGACTCCAGATGCTTCCTGTTCTCTGTGTTCCCCACTCTGAGAGTTTATACAGCAACAGGATACAACGACCACTTCATGTACCTCAACCAGCACCAACAGACAATGCCCAACGGACTGGTGAGACTGCACAAACTCACTGGAGGAGAACTTTAAAGCTGCTGCTCAATGATTTGACTTTAACAGTAGTTCCCTTCTGTTAGTCAGCACTCTGAGCTAAAATAACAATTTAAAATACAGTGTCAATGTTTTTCTGTCATTGTTATTTAGATATATCTGTTGGTATAAAGAAACAACGTGAAAGAGTAAGGTTTGAATATTTAAAATGCTTTGATTTTTAGCATTTTAGTCTTAAATTTAGAAGTTATCAGCAGGTATCAGGTATCACCTGATTTTCTTTTTATATAAAACTAATGTGCTGTTAGATCTGTGGGAGGGATGCTTTATTCTGTGACTGGTGGTTAAATGAATAATATATTTGGTCAGATGATGGACCCAGTAAAATAATTATAGCGTTTTTGTTGTTGTTGTGAACAAAGAAGAAAAAGTTGTTTCTTCTGATTCAACAAATTCATCTGAAAACGTTGGAGTTTAGCTGCCGCTGCAGAAGAAGAGAAAGGAGTCCTGACATCCTAAAGTTAAATGAGGCTTTAAATATGAAGATAAATCAGTCTCAAAAGTATTGTATTTTTTGGCCTATAAGTCACATTTTTTTGCATAATTTACATGCCCTGCGACTTATACATCGAATTGATGTATTTATGGATTTTTTTCCCATATTTACAAACCAATTTTTGGCTGAGATATGACCGTTTTCATTAATTCTGACTGAAATATTGAACACTACAATTTTCAGCCACTAGATGGCACTCTAGTATTTAGGCATGCTGTTGTATCATGTAATAGGTAAAAGTGGCTATAAGTGACACAGTCGGCTTGCCACAGATTGCCACCGTTTTCTGCCTGGAGCAACCGAATCAGCTTTATTTCGCTGCACTGCCCCGGTGAAATGCAGCAGCAAATTGACTGTCAAAGTGCATTTATTAAGTAAAAGTTCACATGAGACACACCTTTACAATAAATTCGAGCTAACAAATAATTGTTTTTAGGTGGTTATCTTGTTAAATTTCAAAGAAATTGAACGAGTCGCCCTCTGCGCGTTCATGTTTACACGTATCGGCTTTTGAAAATGCAGCTGATTTGACCATCAAAGTGCATTTATTAAGCAAAAGTTAGCCTGAGACACACCTTTACTATAATTTCGAGCAAACAAATAATTGTTTTTAAGTGTTAATCTGGTTAAATTCTTGTTAAAGTCCTCCCGTGCACGCTCCTGCGGCCACTATTTGGCAGCCAATCTATTTTTGGCACTACACCGGCCCATATTTCCGGGCTGTCAGCGGTGACGCGTAACAAACGCAACACGTCATAGGTGATGCATAATAGATGCGATGTATACGGCGAAGCAACATATTTATGGATTTATCCACTTTTTTAGACATATTTGGACAAATGCAACTTATAGGACGGTGCAACGTGCACAGCGGAAAATACGGTAGTCGCACAAGTGTACAAGGAGTTGTTTATGCATACAATAAGATCCACAAGTTTTACAAATGCATAAACAGTTTTTCAAATGTACCCTTTTCCATTTGCACAATTATTCTATGCGTACAAATTGTCAAATATACGTGCACAAATCACCTGCTGTGGCCGAATGAGTCAACACGAGCGCACGGATCAGCTGCCTGTAAATGTGACTTTTGATCCTTTATTGCTGCTCCAGATTTACAAAGGTAATGTTGCATTCAAGACTGGAAAGAAGCTGGGAAATCTGAGTCTTAACAGCCTTATTCAGAGTTATTATGACTACCGGTAGACATATTTCTAACTTGGCACAGTCGCTCATAACATCACTGGATTCCAAAAATGTTATTTAAGGGAAATAAACAACCTAAAATGAGCAGGTTATTCTTCATCTGGAAAAAATTTCAGGAAAAAATAAATAAATAAAAAATAATAATACTACTGGTAAATAAATAAATATACAAATAAATATATACCAGTGTATATTTTTTTCCTAGTAGTTTTTCCACAAGACGAATAACCTATATATTAAAACGCATGCGCACCTACACTCAAAATATATATTCCAGTATTTGAAAAAAAAAACGTAAAAAATATTTTTTCCCGTAGTTTTCCCATAAGAAGGAAATGTTAATTTTGTGGACCATATAGCTGGAAAAAAAAAAAACATCGAACAACATCAAAACATAATTAGATTATTCTTCCACTTGTAAAACAATGGGAAAAATTCTGGTATTTTCTTTGTAGGAAGAAAATACTGAAAAATATTTTTTTTCCCGTTAGTTTTTGCAAAGAAAGAATAGCCTAACCATTTTGAGTAGTTGATTTCAAATATACAGTTCTCACAAAAAATACCAGAAAATATATATTTTTGGTCGTTTTCCACAAAAAAAGTGTTAACTTTGTGGACTGTACATGTAAAATTAATATGAAAAGTGGTTACGTTATTTATCTTGTGGAAAAACTACTAGAATAATATATCTATTTATGTATTTATATATTTATTTATTTGTTTAGTTTTTTTTTCCTGAAGTTTTTCCAGATGAAGAATAACCTGCTCATTTTAGGTTGTTTATTTTAACGGTACTTTAATACCCTTACCTGTACCCCTAAATAATGTTTTTGTAATCCACAGATGTTAATGTAAGCATATGTGTTTTAATAAAGGGGTTCTGAGCTTTTCTGCCCTGTTAGAAATTAGCCTTTTTCCCCAAAACACTCAGTAAATCTGATAATGCTTAGATGTCCCAGTTTTTTTCCAGCCTTGAATGCAGCATTACCTGTGTTGACTCATTCGGCCACAGCAGGTAATTTGTGCACATGCATTTGACAATTTGTAGGCGCAGAATATTCGAACTTGTGCAAATTAAAATGTGTACATTTGAAAAATTGTTGATGCATTTGTAAAACTCGTAGTACGCTTGTGGACCCTACTGTACGCAGACACATCTCGTACGCTTGTGTGACTACTTTCGAGAGTGATTTATCTTCGTATTTAAAAGTTTTTAGTTTAATCAGATTAGAGGATTAAATTAAATTACCATAATAACTTTAAATGACGATTTTATTTAGAATTAAAATGTGATTTGAAAATCTTAATAATGGTAGTTCTTTAAGCGAAGTTGTTTTATTGACACTTTGGAATAACTTCACATAAAAATGGACACATTTTGAATACAAAAAGCCTCATAAAATTCTAATTTATGAGATAAAATGATTATGTTATGAATATTGTTTGTTTTCTGACCTTCATCAGGGGATGGGAGGTCAGCACGACTACTTCGGCTTGTGGCTGGACAGTGATTTTGGTCAGGGTCACAGCCGTGCACAGCCCAAGTGCACCACCTTCGGCAGCCCTCAGCTTTCTGGAGACCAAGAATTCACTCTGGACTCGATGGAAGTGTGGGCTGTGGGACAACCAAAACAGCCAGAGGAGGTGTGTGTTTTATTTAAATCAAGTAATAAAGATGAGTGCTGTGTTTCAAACAGACGCTGTCACAGGAAGCAGCGATCCTTCCCAAGAAGATGATGAGTTAAAACTTATTTTCAGCACTGTGGTCGTTAAAAAGTAAAACTAGAAGTGCCATGCACTGCCCACACATTTCCTTCTTATCACAGTTTGATGCTGAGAAATCCCCTTTTTGCTCAAAATAACAATTGGCTGTCAATTGTCAACTGTTTAACTTTGGTAATCATCCAATTCAAGATGGCCACCACAACTGACTGACATTAACTAACACAAAAATAGTTGTAACTCATTGTATTTTATATATATTGAGCTTAAATTTGGTGTGGTAGTAGCTGAGAGTCATTCAAAACACCGTGAGCGATGTGCCTTTCTTCAAGGAATGCCTTGAATTTATGTTATAATTTATCTTTAACTTTTTTAAATGCCTGATTACTACCAGATTGCCATGATAATATGTATTTTTCATTGTGACGTCAGAATTTTGGACCCATTTTTAAATTATTGCTAGTTTGTTTCTTGTATTTTTTTTTTTTTACTACAAGTCACAAAAATGATCAGCCCAAGAAAATTAAGTGGAAAGAGATAATTGCATAACTGTGCTGAAACTGAGACTTGTCGTAGCTCGTGTCTTCCTTCTCAACAAAACACGTTCAAAGTTGAAGTTAGGAGCTGCTGTTCTATAAAGATGTGCTATTATCACACAGACCAGCAGCTTGAAGGTCGTCTGCTGCTCTGTCAGGAAGCAAAAGACATGGAGGAGAGTTAAACATCAGAACTCCTATTCCTGCTGAGTGCTCGATGAAAGCCACTCCACATGCACATCATGCCCTGTAGTGACTGGACCACAAACAGAACCTCATTTACATCCCTTCCTGTTTTACACGTTACATCCGTTTCCTTTTAATCCTGCGCTTCTCCTGGCTGTCTGTCTGGTGTTTCAGGGGGAAGAAGAGGAGGGGAAGAAAAGCATCCTGAACGTGGATCCAGAGGTTCAGGCCATGATGGAGCTGACAGGAAAGACTCTGCACAGCGAGGGGTTCAGGGAGCTGGAGGAAGACCTGGACTAATGATCAGGAGCAGGTTTACCGAGGCTCCAATCCTGCCTGGTACCAACCCTTTGAGGCACGAATGATATCATGTTTGATCTTTTTAAATTCACAAATCATTGATTATTATTATAATACTAAAATCAACCAACTTTAATTTAACACCAGTTCATAATCAACCAGCCTTACAACCTTTAATGGCTGTAAATAAAGCTTCAAAGTGGCTGTAAAGTTCAAGTCGACACCAGCAGAGCAGCTTTAGGCTGGTTAGTACCGTCCGTGCGAGAACCTTGGGTGCGAGTTCACACTTTGGCTCCGGAGGTGTAAAACAGAATAAAACTTTTTTTTTTCCTCAAGTGTTTAATAACTGTCAACGTTAGTCAGAAAATTATTGAAAAAGTTGTTGTTTTGCTTGAAACGCCCCCGTTTTTTAAAATAAGAATTGTGAATTTCTTTGTAGAAGTTGGTGAGAACCTTATATTTATTAACCTTTCTAAAAGTTTAAAGACGTTGTTCAGAGAATGCTCAACATCAGGTATAGTAAGCGTTTCATCCCTCCCTGAATATTCAACAAGAAGGTTTCCCAGTTTCGTGTTGATGTTTTTTTTTAACTTTATGCTGAATTATTTTTTGCACTACTTTTGTTTTTTGCAGGTTTTGTGCTTTATTTGGTTTAAAAGCATCTAAAGAGCTGGGTGTACCCTTTGTTAAAATAATGCCAGTTTAAAAAAAGAAATCACCCTACAGCACAAAAAGAATAGGTGTTTCATTTAGTGATAATTTCATGAGCATCTACTGCTTCGCTGCAGCTGTTTGAACTTGTGGAAATATTTTAGCCATTGTTTATAACTATATTAATAAAAATAATAAGTGCTGCAGCTCATAAAAGCAGCTAAAGGTTGTTTCAATAAAACCGCCACTTATCTTTCAAGCTGCAAAATGTTAAATATTAAGCTGTTCCTCACGTAAACCTGGAATATCAAAATATCCTTAAATATGAAATAGCTGCTGATTTTTTTTGTTTTGGTGACGCTGTTTAGGAGGTAAATGTTTAGCACCCTTCTATTCATCACTACTAAAATATTACATTAAACAGATGATGTGAAACTGTAAAACATTCTTCAACATGCTTTAACAACTTCTACCTGATCAAATGTGCTGCTACTCATTTAACATTTTGTCAGAGGCGCAGTTAGAATCATGCTTTTGGTTTTTCTAAAATCGTTTCGGCCATCTCTTTTTTTTTATATGCTTTTTTTACATTTTCTCAAAATCTAAACGTTTCCTGAATCTCATACAATGTCAGTATCCATTGTAGTGAGGAACGCAGTTTTTATATTTCTGGAATGTATCAGGTTTTTTCTTAAAAGTTTCATTATGTAAACGTAGAGACAGGGTGATATCTCCATCAACAAACAACTTCTGTTGGTTTCTATGCAGTTTTCTTAAGTACACACAGAAAATATATTTGTGTTTTATGGCTCCTGAGGCACATCTGACAGAAGCAAGTGTTGGGTCCAGGGGAACAGTTATTTCCAGTATTCCACAATAAATTGTCCGTTATGGAAATAATTTGTCTGGAAAGTTGAAATGAGAAACTTTGAAACGCTTTTTGCTGCTTCGATGTGGCGACTTCACATCTTTTGGTTTTGTTTTAGTTTCTATCTAAATAAATTCAATAAATGCTCAGAGCTGAAATGGCATTCAGGGTAAAATTCAGAAAAATAAGTGTGATGTCCTTTTATAATCTTGTGTTTAATCTGGACTATTTAGCGGTGTATGAATCTATTAATAAATGACACTAATGAAAAAATTAGTTGATAAAAAGCAAAAAAAAAAAGTTTTAGAGTTAAACTAGACACCATTTTTTTTGTTTTTGCATACCACTGAAATCTTGATAAAACTGTTTTTGTATCTGAAGTCTGCACGAAGTATTTGGTTGTAGAAACGTAAAATGATGCGTCGACTGTTGTGACGAGAGAAAAAAAAACCCGGCACATGTTAATGAAACTTGAACAGCTTCGGCTTCATCGGCAGTATGAATATGTCTCTACCTCAAATCAATCTGACAGCTCGTGTCACTTGAAATAGTGTTTTTCTGTGCATGTAGTGAAAATATATGCTGTACGTGTAGTGAATGCTTTATTATAGTAAAGTTACAGATAAACTACTTCACCCTGACTTTTTCTGTCTTTCTTTTGGTCTCGTCTGTCAAAAAAAGTTGCCATAAACACTAAAACAAACATCTGCTCCGAGGCTGAAAGGCTGCCTTGTGCGAGTCCTCTTCCTCCTCCTCTTCCTCGTCGCTGCCATCATGCAAATAACCGAGCCAAGTTACTCATGCAAATGAACAGCAGTTTGCACAGCATTACAGTGAGGAATATTAATATGTTTTGTTTGTATGCATGTGTTCAAACTATTACAATGTTTTTATTTAAACATTTTACCTGCTGTGGCTAGAAAACAGTAAATTTGTACCGCTGACCGACCGGCCGCCTCGTTTAATTGTTTATGTTCTGCATTTCTACTTTACAGCACGTTCACTTTTATCACATACAGTACCCATATGTATGCACTTTATATTGTTTTGGTTTTTTTAAGCCAATGTACACCAGAGTATCTGGAGGACAATTTGAGATTTAATTTGTTGCACAAAGCGACTAGAGAACATTTATTCTCTAAAAGTTTCAGGATGAGCAATTAATTCATAGAAATAAAGGATTTAATTTTAATTTAATTCTATAACTTCAGAAGAGAAACATTTACACTTTCTCCATATTTATTTTAGCCTGCTTATTTATGTGTTAAGCTGAGCACATTTATGTACTAAACCATCAAAGTCCTGTACAGAAAACTAGATTAGAAAGTGAAATTCCTTATAAATGTTTAGATGTGTTTTAGACATTTTATTGTAATCCATTATGTGAGTGGTTCCCAAAGTTGTCGCAAAAATTAAAGGTTTCAAAATGATCTCCAGAAATCAAACATTTTCAAATGATTCCTAGTGGCATATTTTAACTAAAACTGTTGCAAAAGATAAAAGCAAGGATCATGGAAAAATAGTATTTGAGTTGGAGCTTTTTATTTATTTATTTATTGCAATGATTGGTGTGTATTTTATGGTTGCAAGTCCTTCCCATTGTTCCAGCAGGTGGGGCTGGTTTCTGTTACATGATTTAATCTTGTTTTATTTATTATTGTGACAAACCAAGATGGCCGCCACAGCTAAGCTACTTTTGTCAACACACAAAAAAAGTCAAGTTACTCAAAATGTTTAATGTATTTCTTAGTTTATATCTTGGATCCTTAGCACTGTTTTACAATTTATATTTTTGCTATGTTTGGGGTGTAACTGGACACAATTTTGTTCCACCTCATGTACCACATGTGATACGAATGACAATAAAGAACTTTGAACTTGAATAAGGAGGTGGTAGTAGCTGAGAGTCATCCTCAACACATCTGAGCGTTAACATGTCACGACGTGTGTCTGCGGCGGCCATCTTGAATTAGAGCAGTCAAGGCGGCGGGCGATATGCATTTTAATTAATATCTTGACTGGAGAGTAGCTAACGAATGTAAAGATGTTTGTTTCATTCATGTAAAAATCCCATTTATTTTGTTTCTTGTTTGTGTATCGTTTTATGGAATGTGATTAAAAATCTTTGTGCTTTTTCAGAAACAGTCTCATCATCCAGCAGGACAAAGATGCAGCTCTGCGCCTCTTGGTTTGCATAGATATCACCGTTGCTTCCGGACTTTTTTTTTTTTTTTTTTTATAACTTGCAGGCTCTGCCTATAATGCAAGTTAACTTTTACTTCCTTGTACACACAGGCTGATAGAGGAACTGACCGTCCTGCGGCTGGCCTTTTGACAACACTCCACATCCTCTCCTGCTTCATTTCAGAACGTTCAAACCATGATTGGATAAAAAAAAAAAAAAACAAGCCAGCACCGACTTTCTTTGTGAAGAAGCGAATTTACTCGTCAGGTGAGCGTGTTTTGCTTTGTGTCTTCTTAAAGTTTTATTTGAGCCGCTGTGGCAGGCTTGTCTCAGAGGAAAGGAAGTTCTTGTTTTACTGGCAGGTTTTTTTCTGCAGAAACTGCCAGAAATGTCCTGCAGCTCTGATGCGTTCACGGCCCCACTGTGACACCCAGCACACTGGACTCTCACATCGGTGGCAGTTTAGAACCGACTTTACCTTCCTGTCTGCACTTTTCTTTTTGAAATGTCTTAAAGACAAACCCAGCCTCCTAACGTTCAGGTGTTATCTGAACTATCAAACCACAACTCTTCCATCTTGTCTCTGAAGCCCCCGGGGGACACAGACTCGTCATAGGGGCCCTCAAACTGAATGCAGCAGCATCAAATACACCTCAGTACATCACTAGTACTTTGCTCTAATTTGGCACAGCTTCCAATTCTTTTATAAAAATATGGATGTTCAGCTTGGACGTTTTCTTACCTTGTCACATATTATTATTATTATTATAAATAACGATTTTGAATTGTTGATTCTTTTTGAATCGCTGGGTTTGTTTGCTTGCTTAGTTCATTCCTGTTTTTATTGCACATCTCTTGTCTATTATTGGGCATTTCTCCATTTATTTTATACGGTTCATCTGATCCTATTTATTTGTCGACTGCCATTTTATGGTAGTAATATCAAAGCAAAACCATAAAATTAAACTCATTAGATTTTACCAAACGATCCAAAGTAACTGGTTAATTCCACTACAAACGACTGTAGTTTACGCTAAATTATGAAGGAGAACGCCACAAAAATTGCAAAATAACTGGAGGGTGACACAAGCGACACGCGATCAAAACTCTTCAGTTCAAATATAAATAGGTCCGCTGACAGGAAATTCAAAATGACTTTAAACAACACATACCAAAGCAGAAAAGAAGGAACATGTACAGGTTCAAAATGAGTGAAGAGATTCAAAATAACTACAGAAATACAAACAGTAGAGCGACAAAGTACCAGAGAAAGCAGAGTTCTGGTATGTATAAAAATACATTCAGATTGACTTCTAATGTCCATGATAACAAAAGAGCCTCACAAAGGCACTAAAGCATGACAATTGTTGCTTTAGCTTCGCGGAGGTCTGAACACAAACTCAGAGGAGGCTGTGCTTAGTTGAAAAAAAGTAATAAATATATCCAACATTGAAAAAGGATAAAACTGCTGTGCTTTACTTGCATCACTTTTGCTCTACCCTTTAAGTTAGTTAACTTTGAGTTGCTGATTGGTCATTTTCAGCTATTTGTTAGTGACCAACAGAAGCAATTATTGGTCCACTTGTGTTCCTCAGAATGTTATATTTTGATGTTTTTTCCATATATTAATATATGTATAATTGTTTTCGTGCAACTTTTTCCTAATTTGGTGAATTTGGTACCACGATATGTGCGTTTCTTACACCTCCATCCACCATGCACATGACACTGGCCTGTTTTCTCCTCCCTTTATTCTATAAACACATTATTTAACATAAGCAATAATCATTTTCAATGTTGGGTTAATTTGGTCAAAAGTATTTGAGCTAAAGTCTATATTTTTAAGGGGAGGAAAACAATTAACATTCAAGTAGTATGAGAGTGGTAATCTTTATGACGTTGGTGCCTTTACTTGTATAAATACCACAGTAGTGGTTGTATCAGTATTTCACTTAGACATCACAGCTGCAATGTGATGCTGACGTTAGTTAAAAATTAATTTAGTTGCAAGCTCTGGTAGTTCCTTTTGTAAAAACTGAACATGTGATAAAGATCTGGCCTATCCGCTCAGTCTGAAAGTCATCAAGGCCTGCTTGTTCTCAACTCACTCTCTGTAAGTCAGCGACAGCAGAGACTGTAACCAAGGTTGGTTGGTTTGGTAGCAGCAGGTATCAGAAACAGGTGGCACAACTGGTAAAGCTGCCATCTCTCAGCGAGAAGGTCTGCATATGGAGTTTGCATACTTGCTGAATGGTAACTAAAGTGTCCCTAGGTGTGAGTAAGAGAGTGAATGGTTGTCTCTATGTGTCCCTGTGGTGGACTGGAGACCTGTCCAGGGTGTCCCCCGCCTCTCACACAGTGATGGCTGAACACTTGGCAGGCATTTGTATCTTATATTGAAAGTATGTCATTTGTTTCATGTATCTCTGTGGCTGATCCGATATAGGAGGGGTAAGGTGGGAGGGGTTTTTGTTGTATGTTTTTGCGTGTGTGTGTTCTAAAATACAAATCAGTAAAAAAGGCTGATTAAAAAAATTAATTTGATAACAAAACTAGACATTATTTAGTTTAATTTATGGCAAAGAAAGTCTATCTGTCATTGTACTATAAAAAAAAAAGTCAGCTTGTGTCAAAGTTTAGCATCTTTGAAACATAAAGGCTCATTGAATCTACAGTCATAGCCACCATATATCTGGTCTGCCATCTTTAAATAAGATCAGAGTACTACATCCCCTGTTTCCTCCATTTTGTGCTCAATGGAGCTAGCTTCTCACACACGTAAACAAACAGCGATTCTAAACCAGTTAAATTAAAACATCTCAGACACTGAAATCCCATAGATCTCCTCACCCTTTTCCCTGAGAGTGAGCCCAGTCACATTTTCTTTAAGTCTTACCTGTAGCTTGTGACTACAGATAAGCCAGATCAAATCTTCTTCTCTTGACTTTTCACTCTTCAGGGGTCTCCACAGCAAGTCATCTGATCCTCCTCCATCTCACGCTGTCCTCTGCATCCTCTGTCCTCACTCCAACTACCTCCGTGTCCATTTCCAGGTCTCTCTTGTAAATGAGTCCCCAAGGCTCAATGAGATTAACCTGTCTAAATAAAGGTTGAATGAACGTCCTCTCTGTATCCATACTGTATATCTCCTCTTTGTCTGTTTCCAGGCAGCTGCATTTCTAACATTCTTCTACCAACATACCCACTGTCCCTACTCTGGACATGTCCAGACCATCTCAGTCTGGCCTCTATTACTTTATTTCCCAGTTGTTCAACCTGTGCTGTACCTCTGATGATCTCATTCAGAACATTCCAGGTCCATTCTCATTCCAAGTCGGAACAAATACCGATTTGGAAACTGACAGCTTAACACGTTCTTTCTTTTCGATCATCAGCAACACATGCAGAAATACCTTCATCACTGCTGTAATTCATCTGAAAATCCTCCTGCTCCATTCTGACTGCCTGTTCTGACACACCTTAAGATGGTGTCTTACTGGGCTGTGACTGTTGGTGACCAGTATTGGCAAGAAAATCTGCATAGTGTGTCAAAATGTTCACATTTGTTGCAGACTCCTCCAGCCCGCCTCACGAGCACCAGATCTGTATTTTGACCCGTCCACACAAGCTCCAAACATTTTAGGCTAATGTCCAAGTCTAAACACCAAGCTGATGATCAGTAATTATTGATAAGCTGGTCTGAATCTAACATAAATCTAATAAATTAGGAAACATGAAGGGCTACTCTGAACAGTGACATATTTTTAACTGCCTCTGTGAATGAGCAGCTTGCACCTGCATTGTGTTGCTGCTGTGGTTTGTTTCTTTAACTGGTTGTGCACCGAGTGAGAGGAGAAAAAAAAAGTCATTTTGTCACGTAAAGGTTTCATTTTGCCAGTTAAATCAAAAATCACACTTCAGCTGCTCCGTTCAACTTTAGCGTGAAAGTTTGTAAGTAGCTTCAGCCAAACAGCCTTCGGCCACAATGAAACAAAGAATAAATTGTCTTGTCCCTCAAAACTCAAGAAAAAATTTATATTTTATATCAGACTCTTTGAGTACAGACTTTAGTCTTACTACACGTAAAGGGGTTAAATCTGCAAACGCATCACCCATGCTCAACTTTATTTCTAAATTCAAGCTGAAAAGAAAGACTCTTGCTCAAGACAGGCCTTTTCTGCACATCTTTTTATAGGCAACTATTAATAAAGAAAGAGTCATTTTGTAGCGTTTAATGCTGCTCCATCAGGATGAGGATATTTGCTAGTCTAAATAAGCCCTCAGAGATGCTTCGCAGGGACCGTTCCTTCGCTGGGAACAAGGGGAGTGGAGTACATGTTTCAGCAGAAAAAACAGTGGAATATTTGTGTAATGTTTGCTAATTATTAACTTTACAGGATGAGGTTGAGCTTAACGTTTTAACTTTTTAATAAACACTCCAGCAAAGAGCAACTTTTTACATAATAAGCACATAGTTCATGTAAATTTGTCAATGTTAATCATTTTTATTATCGACCTGATATATGGCCTTGTTGTTTTTGCTTCTGCACATCCATCCATCCATGTTCTTTTTTTCCCCTTTCCGAGTCGCAGGGAGTTTGTATTTACAGGAGCAGTCACTATGCAAGAGACAAGGTACACCCTGGACAGTGTTGCCAGATATATAATAATTATACTCTAGTTTGGGTTACAATTATTTTAAAGCAACGCTATTACAATATTTAATCATTTTCTATCTGGCAACCCTGCAAGAGACAAACAGCCATTCACTCTCTGACTCACATAAAGGAATAGTTTAGAGTTATCAATTCAATTAAACATGCATGTTTTTGGTCTGTTGGAACAAACCAGAGTACCTGGAGAAAACCCCTGTGTGCTCAGGGAGAACATGTAATCTCCACACAGAAAGGTCTGGAGTCAAACTTGTGACCTTCTCACTGAGAGGCAACAGTTCTAATCACTTCTTCACCATTTGTGCACATTATTTCTTTTTGTTGTGTACATTTTACTTTTTTCATTTACAGTAATGAATATCTTTTTAATTCTTAGTTGACTCTAGAAGAGTTTTCATCTACAACTATTTTGTTTTGATTACTTTTTTGATTATTTGCAAGTTAAATATTGAGTATTGCTTTGCAACATTGCCTGCATGTAATGACATACTGTACCTCTGATCTGCCATACTTGTTTCTTATTCATCTAGCAGTAGTGTAAAGGCACAGAAACATCAATTAAATAAAACCAAGAATTAAACAGTACAGTAAGAA